GCAGATGACACTAATTGGCATTTTAGTTCTAGGTGAATATCATGGTAGTTGGAGAAATCTGGTCTTTTTGTGGACCTTTCTCTTTAATGATTTGAACCTCATTTTTGTGTTAACAGCTGGCTTCCCATGAATTCTCTTCCCATGAGTCAATGTGGAATTTTATTGGTAAACAATTTAGTGACTCAAGTTAATTTATTGTGATCTGTTGGGTTTCCAATATAACAAACTTGTCTTGTTACTGAAAGAATAATTGCCAAGCAGACAAAAAGGAAAAAACTTCACAAAATTTGGTTAAATTATGCTGATTTTTGGCTTTTGAAGTTAACTCAGTTCCCTTTTGCATCTTCTGACCAATTTGCATCCTCTGTCATGCCAGTTTGCTCATTATGAACCAGGTGTTACTCATGTATTAGTAACGGGAGGTGCTGGATATATTGGTTCCCATGCTGCATTTAGGCTTCTAAAAGATTCATACCGAGTAACAATAGTGGTATGTCTCAAGAAAATCTGTAAAGAACCTTTTAATGTTAACTTGTAGCATCAACAGATGTGTTGCAACTTGACAGGACAATCTCTCGAGAGGAAACCTGGGTGCCATAAAGGTTCTACAAGAACTATTTCCAGAACCTGGCAGACTTCAATTTATATACGCTGACTTGGGTGATGCAAAAGCTGTATCCTGAGTTTTGTTCTGTGTTAAGATTTTATGAGATTATTATTATTATTATTATTTTTCGCATTCGAATAGTTAAATGTCCCTTCTGCAAATGTTTTCCTTGATGAATATATTCAGGTGCACAGAATATTTTCAGAAAATGCATTTGATGCAGTGATGCATTTTGCAGCCGTTGCATATGTTGGAGAGAGCACTATGGATCCACTCAAGTAAGTACAGAACATTACACTTGGATGTTTTTCTTTTCTGGTACCCTATAACCCCCACATAGCCACTCTATTTTGGACACTACAGATATGTATAAGCAATAGTTTTAACCATCAGGATATTGTTCTTAAAACACTTCAAGAGCTAGTTTGTAGAATTTCTAAGAAAATATAGAGAGAAGGGTACATGAAGCTTCATAGAAGTTCAAGTAGAATAAATAATTTCAGGTTAGTTGAATCTGTTGGATTGCTTAGCAAATTTGCGCACACTGCCAATTATTCTCCATCAATAGCCACATTCTTGACTTCCAAGTACACATGTAATTAGGCATTTTCTTTTTTGGTATCTTTTTCCTCCTTTCGACATCTGCTGTTCATGATCTTATGAAATATTAGAAGCCAGTTAGTTTAGCACCTTGAAGATATTAAAATGGTTGTGCTAATGCAAGTGTAGTTACTGCAAACAGACAAGAATACTGGTATGTTATCGCTGAGGAATAATTGCTCTCTGGAAGGTTGCGAACTGTGTCCTTGCAATATAGAGTTTGTTATGTTGTGATCATAGATTATTTTCCAGTAGCATAAGAACTTTGAGTAATGAAAAAAGAATCAAACTGCACAATAGAGACTAAAGTTCCAGTGTTGGTAAAAGAAGCTTAAGAATACCATCAAGAATTGCTATTATGTATACCTCTTCTTATGTTTATAGCGTATCTCCTCTTTGGTTGTTTAGTTATCTGACCTGATCTAGCAGGACAGTTCTTGTGGCTTATTAGCCTAGTGACTTCAAACTCTCTAGTTGCAATGGCTATAGTGCAAAAGTTCACCTAGCAGCCGGTGCTATGAGTTTAGTCCATCAAATACTCGAAAAACTATTTTATTACTAGAGCTACCTCTTTAAAGAAGCAGGAAGTACTTCATATGCTTGTTTATCTACTTTGAAAGTTATGTTAATTCTTGTATGATTTCGGATGTCTGATTGCCTGAATAGATAGATCCATATACTTCAGGCATCGCATAAGCTAAATTTGGCGCATTTGCAGTTTGCTTGAGTATTGTGACACCCCAGAAGATAGAAAGATAGAATACTAGTATTTATAGTGCTATCTATGTTAATGGTCAAACAATTTTGTACTTGGGCAGTTTGCTTCACGAAAATAAAAACAAGATTCATGGTGCTGTGTTTTCTATTACCATAAAGCTGATTGCTTCGAACACTGATTATCTTTGAATAAACTCTTTCTGGTTATTGGTTCTTTGTTCCTTATCAAAGTCTTGCCTCTTGCCATTTGCCATTTTCTCTTCAACCTGAATCCAGTATCTGTATGTGTTTCTCCTTTTAATTGACTCAAGATGAGACTGTAGTTTATTGGGCTAATTATTCTGATAATACAGGTATTATCACAATATCACGTCAAATACACTTGGTGTATTGGAAGCCATGCATACACATGGTGTGAAGACTTTGATATATTCTAGTACATGTGCAACATATGGAGAGCCAGAAAAGATGCCTATTACAGAACAAACTCCACAGGTGAAGGATCTAGAGCCTCTTTTGTGGATTTCCTAGATTTCTTAACTCTTTTCAGTTGAATAGAGTGCAGAGAGGGCATTAATAGCAGATAGTTTATATGTTTGGAGCTGTACAGTAGAAATCTGATGCTTTTTTGTGTTGTATAGAAACCAATTAATCCTTACGGAAAAGCCAAGAAGATGGCAGAGGATATTATTCTGGATTTTCATAAGAATTCAGACATGGCTGTCATGATTTTAAGGTACGAGTTTGACTGCAACTCTAATCCTTTTGCACTGATTAGCATCATGCTCAAGCTAATTATTCTTTCAAATGATTCTTTTTTGGTTTATAGTTCATTATTCACCTTCCATATCCCATTACTGCTTTATAGAGTTTCTTGGAAAAGTGACGAGAGCTATTGGAAACAAAAATGTTCTCTGACAAGTCAATTTATTGTGGTAGTGAAGCTAATGAAATGTTGTCAGTAAAAGGATGTCTGTGAACAGTCTACTTGACGGGGTTAGCGGGTAGTTAATGATGTGATGCTTACTGAACCAATAATTACCCATTGTGACGCTGAAGTTTTTAATTTTCAGATACTTCAATGTGATTGGTTCAGATCCAGAAGGAAGACTAGGTGAAGCTCCTCGACCAGAACTACGTGAGCATGGTAGGATATCAGGTGCTTGCTTTGATGCTGCTCGTGGAATAATTCCAGGGCTTAAGGTTTGCTGATATTACCCTTCACTCTTTATCTGATAGTGTAGCACTGAAATCTTCTAAAGGTTTGGGTGTTCTTGAGTGGGGACCAGCATTGGGCAATGCTGAGGTTGTGGAGGGGAACGTCTGGGAATGTTTAAAATGGGCTTTATGTGTTTGTGGGGATACAGGGTTGTGTTAGACTGGATAATGAAGAAGAGAGGGAAGGAGTAACTTTTTTATTTGGAAATTTTGATATATTTAATGTTGGCCCGGGGCACATCGTTCTTGTAGTTTTTGCCTTCAACAGCATTTCAGATGATAATTTTACCATTCACTTGGCAGTTTCCAGTAGCACAGAATTAGCATCTACGTTTTTCTTGTCTGGGGAGTAGATAGATTTTACATACTTAGCGGGTATTCTGTTTTCGTGGACAGGTGAGAGGAACAGACTACAAGACTGAAGATGGAACCTGTATCCGGGATTATATTGATGTCACTGATCTTGTTGATGCTCATGTCAAAGCCCTTGAGAAGGCAAAGCCTGGGAAAGTTGGAATTTACAATGTTGGAACGGGGAGAGGTAAGGCATTTCTTGTTATAACCTGTAACTTAATTGACCATATTTGCTGTTTCTTATGCGGGTCATATTTTTCTACTTCAGGTCGATCTGTAAAGGAGTTTGTGGAGGCCTGCAAGAAGGCGACAGGAGTACCTCTCAAGGTCGACTACCTTCCACGTCGGCCTGGTGATTATGCTGAAGTATACAGTGATCCAACTAAAATTAGGACAGAACTAAACTGGACAGCAAAATACACCAATCTTCAGGAGAGTTTGCTGGTAGCCTGGAGATGGCAGAAGGCACATATTAATGGATATAGCACACCTCAGTCAATTTAGAGATAGTATACATCCACTATCTGGCAGTGGAACATTGACAGGAGCAGCCAGCCAGCCCCCAACCTACAGCCTGCTTTTACTCCATTCTAGGAGTCACTTAGAAGAGGGTGTTATGGCCTGGGATTTGGATGTTTATTCTTTCTAATTTGATGAATCCATGGCTTAGAGGCTTAGGGAAGCAGCTCTGTTTATTACTCATATTTGAGGAAGAGGTATTTGAACAATAATCATCAGTGAGGTATAGATATAAATTATTCTTTTGTCTTTTTGGGTTATTATGTATTATCATTCTCTTGGTTTCAAGAAATTAACCACACAAAACTCTTGAATCCACATTCAAGAAGCAAGAAATGAACATGGTGCCCAAGAACCAGGGGAGTGGAAATTAATCAAAAAAATATATATCAGCCAAATGAATAGCGAAATTTAGTATTATTTTTCCCAATGAACATTATCGGCCAAATTTAAAGATCTTTCCGTCTGAGAAAAAAAAATAGAGTTAACTTATATAAGTAATTCTCAAATTTTTGTGACCCCATATCAGGCCAACACCCGCCTGTCTCATTTTAAGGGTTAATAATTACTTTTTAAAACATGAAAAACCCAAAAAAAAAAAAAAAAAAGAAAAGAGTTTGAGTAACCAAAAAGACGTCGTTTAGGAGAAGAATTGGGAGTTGGTTTGTTTTGTTATAACCGTTATTCAGTTAAGTTAGAAGCACAGACCTACATTTGGACGGTTCATATTGAATCCGGAAATAAGCATATAAGATGGATTGTCACTCTTATGGAGTTGGAAGCAACTAACGCAAATTGTTTGTCTCCTCTGTTGATTTCTTGTTATCTGCTTTTCACACTCTCTCAATTCTTACCATAGCAGGAAACTTAAAGAAATTGTGGCAGTCCTCTCGGGCTAAGCTTGAAGAAAGTATAGCATAGTGCTTAGTGCTTGTTCAATTAACATCTATCAAGAAAGAAGAAATACTGGTTTCTGATCATCAGTATGGGAAAAAGAAGAATAGAAATCAAGAAAATTGAGGACAAGAAAAAGCAACAAGTTACGTTTACTAAGAGGAGAAAAAGGCTGCTCAAGATGGCTATGGAGCTAGGCCAGAAATATGATGCTGAGGTAGCAGTGACCATCAGGAGTAATGCCAGCAATATCTTTGCCTTTGGTCATCCTTCTGTAGACTCCATTGTCTAGCGCTACGAAGAAACCAAGGAAACTGAATCATCAGCCGCAAAAAGAGACAATGATGTTCATCAAGAAATGTAGAATCTGCCTGAAGATGATCTTGATGAAACAGAGGAAAGCCCTGATGATGATGATGATGATCAGGAAATGTCTGATTGTGTGATGGAAGTCAACAAAGCCAAATTGTCATCTGAAAATAGAAATGGAGATCAAGATGAAGTACATGATGTGGCTGAAAAAGATGATATAAGTGACATAGAAGAATTCCTTGATGATGATGATGACGATGTTGATCAGGAAATGTCTGATCATGAGATGGAAGTCAAGAAAACCAAATCATTATCCAAAAAAAGAACTGAGGATTGACAAGAACTACATGATCTGCCTGAAGATGATGATGAAATTGAATTAGAAGACGGTCTTGATGATGATGACGGTGAAGATGATGATCAGAAGAATACGATGTCTGATCAGATGGATTTATCAATGACATTGACATTGCCACTGAGGACTAGTGCAGAAAAAGAAGATAAGAGCCCTGACATGATGATCCGGTAGAAGTATGAATCTGGAAAGGGTTTGGCTATTAGTTTGCCTGCAGGGGGAAGCCAAAAGAATGCTACTGATCAACAAGTACAAGACACTGGGAATGTGGTGAAAAAGCAGGAGAATTCAACTGCAAACTCAATTATGATGCCCAACTTGATTAGGGATGTGCCCCCAGTTGACGATTTAGAGTTGCATGAACTTCAAGAAAGTATGGCTCAGCTGGAAAAGATGAAAAAGAAAGTAACAGATCCAGTTAATCAGATCAGGAAGAGTAGCGCTGATTCTTCTTGTGACTTCAATAAAAATGCAAGGACCTGAAATGGAGAACTGACTAGGAGTTTTAAGTCTCAACCCTTTTTTTTTTACATGGTAGTTGAAAAACAGGTTGATAGAGGATTTTTTTTTTTTTTTTTTAACATGGAAAGAGCCATTTTGGCAATGAACTCAGTCAGAGATGCAGCTAAAATATTAGTTAGTCATCTATGGAACAATTCGAAAGTGTAAAGTTCATAAGATTCTTTTATGGATCATGCTTTGATCAATAGGCAACAGTTCATTGTAGATCATGTCTAATCAGTAGGCAAAGTTCAAATAATTAGGCTGTATTGCACTTTATGAATTTTGGTCAAGTTGGTTTTCAAATTTCTAGTTCTTGGGATAGCCCAGAAACAATATTGCTGCAAATTCTGTTCTCTCCTAAATGGAAGGTACATTTAGTCCACCCTCCTTGACATGCTTCTTTAAATCCGATGTTGGAAAGTTCTTTGTTTCTATAATATCAACATTGTCTGATTGAATTTGGTCGAAATATTTTATCTTTTTTTCTTGTGCGGTTTACTTTTGTAAGGCAGAATTATTACTTTGGATTGTATTCTTTTTGTATCTACCTCTGATTCTTAATCTTTAGTGTTCTTCAATTGACTCATATACAACACTAATGTATTCAATTTCTCAGTTATGTACCGACATGTAAAATATCTTCAATAATATGATTTTTTAACAACAATTCATTAATGACTTAAAATTAGCTCAGTTTTCTCTGAATCATAATAAATTCATGAGTATAAATGTGTCATGATCGGATCATTAGGAGGTTTGATTCAGTAGTAGTTTAATTTGCAGTAGAGTAGTGTTGCAGCAGCAGACTTAGTTTTATGCCCGTTTGATGTAATTCTTCACTTTAATTAGCAAGTAATTAAAATCCACTGCAGATTAAAAACCAATTTTAATGAATTGTAATGAGTTAGTTAGTCATAAAACACTATAAAGTATGAGTACAATGTATATACATATATATATGTATGTATGTATGTGGCTGTGTATGTATATATGTTTGTATGTTTAAATTTGAGAAGTGTTCACAACCTTAGCCTTCCTCTTAGCATCCAACTCTCTATTATTTTTTCCTAAGTTTTTGAATCATTTTGTCCCTAATAAATACTTTCAAATATTTTGATTGGATCCTAACATAAATGTGTCACTTAAAAATGAAAGTTTAGAAGCCTAAAAAGAAATAGAGCACTCATAATTCAGCATTCATGATTTGTAAATATCATCGAAAATATAAACTGCATTAAATTAATGAACTTATTTTTTTGCCCTCGATATTTAGATATTTTTTCTCTTGCTAGTGTTTGCAGATGATTTCTGCAATAAAAATTTTAACAAAAAAAATAGTGTCTTAAAAAGGGATCTATTTATCGAATTCAAAGTCGACAAGACCTTCTTTTGTGTAGAAAATATTGAAAGAGGAAGGTTCTAGGGAGGTGGCAGTAGCAATAGTAGGAAAAGGGAGAAAATAAAAACTCTCTCTCTAGTTCTTTTCTCTCGTTTTTATCTACTAGTAAAAAGTAACTTAGTTCTTCATCTTGTAGGTTTAAACAATGGAAACAATGGAAGAAATCGTTATGTAAATTTGTGGTTTTGATGCCAATGAAGACGATGAAGATTGGAGACTTTGTTCCTTCATTTGAATGAGCATTTCTTCTTTCTCACTCTCTTTATTGTTTCATTAATGCTTAGTTATATTAAAGACATGAGTTTACTAGTTTTATCTACTATAGCTAGATTCATTTTTTCTAAGGATAGATGAAAGTATATATGCCTTGATTATGGTCGAATATAGTTGATCTTTGCTACAACTTATACTTGCTAGTTTACTTATTCTTGTTTTAATTACTTGTGAATGCTTGATCACATTTGCAAGTCATTATAGCTGTTAATCTATGAAAATAGTAGACAATGATGAAAATGGAATAGGTGGAGCCTAAGGAGTAGGCATATGAAACTAGTGGTACACTTAAATGGATAATTTTGGCATTTCTAAATCTAAATTAAGTTTTCACTTCAAATGTCACCATGAAAGTAGGTAACTATAGTTTTGGCTAAATTTGATTCATTGGCGAAAGCAAGTTCTGACGGTTTGAGTAAAATGCACCCTTAGCAAAACAAGTGTATTAGTGATAATTGACTATTTCATCCATAGTTAGGTGCATTTAGTGGATTCTATACCCAACAACACTTGTGTTTAGTTGAGTTTCTTCAAGTTTGTTAATTTCCTTGCATTGTTTATTGTTGTTGTTATTTTATTTAGTTTTAATTCTTGATTTGTTTAGATAATTGAGTTAGCTAGAAGCCTTAGTAATTGATAAGTGATTCTCGTGGGATAGACCCTAATTCCTCCATACTACAATTAAGGGCCTACATACTTGTAGTTAATGAGGTCTTAGGTATAAATTTGGAGTGTAGGTTCGACCCTTGTTAGAATGAAATTTCATAATTTGTATGATACATTTTCATAGTTATGTGAACTAAGAAATGAATTTGTGTGAACAAATTACACACACAAAAAAAATATTTGTGTGTCTAAGATACAAAGAGATAATTTCCAACTCGGCAAATAGATTTTTAAGTAGCTAAGTATCAGCTAAACAGCACAAGTATTTTGATAAATTCCAGTGTTACTAAGCATAGAGAAACTGAGTACAAAATATTCATACCCAAGAGCTTTTAGTATCTGTTAACCCTGAAGGAGGATGATGATCACTATTAAAGATTTTAGATGTAGAGGTGGTCATGGGTAGGATAATCAATCCATTTGCAATTTCACTGATTTTAACCACATATGTCAGTTCAGAAAGATTGCATTCCATATCTTAACCCAATTCAACAGGATAACTAGTGACCAGTTAAACTGTAGGATAAGGTCTGGTACACATGGTAATTTAACATTTTCTACTTATAGAAAATAGAAATTAGATTAACAAATCAAACAATAAAACAATTTTTTCCAATGAATAAGAGTTTTTAATTTTATAACTCTAAAAAACTATCAACAAAACAAAAAATCAAAACATGCTAGATAATTAAAACATCGAATATTCTGAAGATTTGTTCTCGTTTTCTCTATTTCTTGAAAGTTATCAATTTATGAGAAATTAAAATAAATTTTGGAAAGAGACAAAAAACAAAGTAGCGTAGTAAATGAAATTAGTGGTCATGGATGTAGGAAATAGAAAAAGTTAATGAGGTTAGGTAGATAAGTTTATAAGTTTTAAGAAAATAAAATGTATAATGGTCCTTCTAAGTTTAATTATTAGTGAATGACTAAATAATTATGGGTTGAGGTTATGATACTGGTTACTTTATCAAACCCTACATTATATATATGCAGGTAAGTTCGGATAGCCGCAATTTTTAAAATTGAAATCTATACTCTAACATGATTTTTTAAGTAGGTTTGGATAAGCTAAACATTTCAAAAATTACGGTTAATTATCTTATTTTTCGATTTTGATCAATTTGATTTCTCGATTACTCACTTTTTCGAATCTTTTTGGACACCCCTATCTAGACGTGTAAAGCAATCAATTGAGCGATGCGACAAGTGTTGACAAATGACAAGTAAAAAGACACGCGAAGAGATTTAATTGCTGCTTCCATGGGTCTTCAATCGTGTAAAAATAATGATAATGTCAGTTCAAATATATGAATTTGAATAAATAAAACATCCAGTTTACTCGAACAAATATGAATAACGGTCAACAAAAAATTTTCCACCTGAAAGTTTCAGTCAACTCGTACCAACAAGAAGACCTAGGTAAAGAAACTCCTCCAAAACGTTAACCTTACTTGTATGTGACACATGATTTATAAACATGAACAATAATGACATCTTGATCTTCAAATCAAAGGGTTTAGGGTTTTTTTTTAATCAAAGGGTTTTAGTTGAAGGATTTTTAAACAGGTGCTCAGAGCACTCATTAATATACTTATATCGCACCTAATTTATGGTGTAAATGTACAAATTCACATTTATTTCAACCCCTAAATTTGGATATTTTTGCAAGTTTATTATGCTTTCACCAAAAAGTTAATGCTTGGAGACCCCTCCTAAACGATTTTATATATGTAACTTTTTTTTCTCACTTTTTATTCAAATCCATTTCATTTGCTCTCTGTTGACAAAAAAATATATAAATAAATAAACCATGCCTATTTAGAAGTATAATAGTTTTAGAATTATATTTATTATTTGATAACTAGATTAGAATTAGTATCAATTTTAGTTTAGGAATATGTATGGTATTTGTATTAGAATAGGTTTTATAGTTCTATTTCTATATTTAAGGAGTTAAAGTCGAGTTTGTATTATAGAGAATTGTGATGACATAGTAATAAAACCATTCAAGTAAGTATTAATCTTTGGTAGTTCTGGTTATTGATATTCATCAAGAAAGAAGAAATAATTCCTATTGATCAATATGGTGAAAAGAAGAACGGAGATTAAGAAAATTGAGGAAAGGCCAAGCGAAACGCTGCATTTAGAATCAGGTGAAAAGAGCTGTTCAAGATGGCCCGTGAATTTGGCCAAGATTTTTGGTGCACGTGTAGCGATTGTCACCATCCATGAAGCGGGCAATGTCTTTGCCTTTGGTCATCCTAATCTTACATCCGTTGTCCAGAATTATAAAGAAGCTAAGGAAATTGAATTATCTAAAAAGGATGATGATGATAATCAAGAAGTAGTATAGGAAATACAGAATCTGTCTCCAGATGATTTTGATGAAACAAAGGAAATCATTGATGATGATGAAGATGAGAGCAACTCTGATGGTCAGATAAAAGTTAAGAAAGGAAAATCACTATTTTGGAAAAGAGAAGATGATCATCAAGAAATTCAATATATGCTTGGTGATCAGAGAAACAAGTCTGATCAGATGGATTTCTCACTACCTCCAAGGCATAATAAAGTAGAAGAAAATGAGAGCTGTGGCATGATGATCAGGAACAAGTCTGAATCTGGAAAGAGTCTTGCA